ATCCACGGGCTCAGGACCAACTTACGGTGATTCGAACGCGTGTTTTTCTTTGCAACTATTCGAACTTTGAACGGACGAGCGGAGATCCCCACGTTATTAATTAATCCTTCAGCAAGTCAATTCCCTGACTACTGCACTCAAGGGTCGTGGGGATCTAGTGAGTCGTATTGTTCATTTACGTTATCACTTTTCTACATTTTTCCACCTTTTTCCACTAGCGTCGTGCGGTAATTTAATTTATGCAAGTCGTTGCGTCTCTTCTAATACATGTTTTATACATGTTGTAGATTAGGCACTTCAAATTTGGTGACCCCGTTTTTACTGTTATCCCCGTTTTTCAACATACTCCACGCAACTATTTTTTTCAAGTTCGATTTTTGTCGCGTTCACGTGCTTTTCAACATGCCAAATCAAGATCCGTCTTTTTACGAAGTCGACTCCGACGACACTGTTTCTACCATGTCCTACGAATCAGTCGATAGGTAGGAACCCAATGCTTTTCAGATTTCCCTTAAGCTGCCAACTTACGATGTTCGCGACCTTACCGTGTGGTTTAAGCAGACAGAAGCCGTTTTCGAAACACACCTTATTGTTAGCGAGCGTACGCGTTATGGGTACGTAGTACAGTATTTACCATTTGACGTCGCATACGCAATCCAGCATCTTCTCGATCCTATTCCTGGGATCAGCATTATACTCGATTGAAACAGGCTATCCTCAAGCGCATGGCACAATCTGCCGATAGTAAACTCCAACAGTTCCTCAACAATGTGGAGCTCGGTTACCAGACACCTTCCGCTCTCATGCGACACATGCCTCACTTGCTAGCCGGTCGCACATTAAATGACACTATCTTCCGCCGCATTTGGATGGGCAAATTGCCACATTCGATGCAGCAAGTCCTGGCACTGATTGATGAGAGTGTTCAGCTGGACAAACTAACCGAGCATGCTGATAGAATCCAGCAATGCTATTCCGGCTCTAGCTCGTACTCAGTCCATCGGGCATCGACTTCGCAGACTAGCCATGCTGTTTCTCAGTTTTCTACGTCCCGATCCGATCGTAAACCTGATCGCCGTGTTTCACGACAGGCGGCCAAGTCTCGTGTTAAGTCGTTCCAGCAGTCGAGTTCGCCTGCGCATCCAATTCATGATGTT